CCAACGTGGAGACAGACATAGAGAGACACTGTACACACAATCACACTCCCCAAGCGTACTCTAAGCCCCAGGTCTAGGTACCCTTGCCCCTGGAGGGGGAAACTGCACCCAAACCCAGGTAGTGTTACCCTCCTCCCTGGGGTGGAGTGAAGCAGACCGCCCCGACTCCGCAGCAGCAGGGAGGCCCCACATTCCAGATCCCAATCAGACGGCCAACTCCTCCTTCAGGGAGGCAGCTGGAGATGGGGAGGGAAGGAAGGGAGGGGCCAGGTCCCTCGCTGACCCCAGTAGGCACCCCCATACTCTTCAACCCACCAGGGCAAGGGGGCCCAGGCCCATTCGGACCGGGGCCCAGTTCAGCAGTGCCGCCCGGCCCCACCACCCGACCCCACCAGAGAAAACTGCACCCACCCCGACATCCACTCATCTTCCAGACTACACAAAACAATAGATACCCAGGCTGAGTTCGTCCTCCACCTCTCCTATATCTCCCCCACCTGCAGAATGAGTTCCTGGAGTTGTTGTACTATACATATTGTACTATATTTTCTATTTCCATGGACTGTTATGGAATAATTTTATATTGTTCTGGGTTTAATATTTATAAAAAAGAGCTCTATCATGTTAATTGGATACTGTAAATACATTTGGACAAAGTAACTCTTCTAATGGCCTTTCATTTTCGTCACTTTGGGTATTTTATGTTTAAAAATAATATTGTTAAGAAAAAATTCCAAACACATTCACATAAATGATTAAAGTATTAAAGATGGAAAAAAGTGTGTTTAATCTACTTCTGAATTATGATTTTGTAAATGGCTATTAATAACTATGTTTCAGGAAAATAAAATGACAAATTCTTGGCATCAAACTAGAATTTAATGTATAAAATATCAGATAAAATATCTGATATTAGGCCAAAATGAAGATAAAAATTGATTTGGCCAAACTTACAAATGCGTCTTTTACATTTGCAGATCATTCCAGACAAACGTCGAGTTGGTGTTGAATTCTCTTGAAATAAATAAATAAAGTGAAACTTCTGGTATTAAAATTCCTCACTACACCGTTCAGCCCAGCCAGTTTTTATTCTCTGCTGAAATAAAGAAAAGGCAGAGATCAAATTTCTGATGTTGAAAAGGGACATGGTATACAATTAGAGCACTTGTGAGTGTTCTTTGTGTTGTTTTCTTTCCTGTCACCCTTTTGAATCTATGAATCGTTAAAATGAGTACATCCAGACAAAACAAGTGCATTCCATTTCTTCTTTTTTTT